ACTTTTGAAAATTAAAAATAATATATGTTTGGATTTAAAGCATGTAAAATTTTCAATAATTAGAGATTATATTTAAAAAAAATAAGTAATTTATTGACCATATGCTTTAAATAAACTTTTTTGACCTTTTCTCGCCCTTCAGTTGTACTTTTATTCTTTTTTAAAACAAAAAATGGTATTTATAATTTTGTATAAAAAAATAAAAAAAAATCTTAAATTGAAGCATAATAATAATAATAATTTCCTTGACCCAAAAAAAAAAAAAGATTTCACTTGAAAATAGAGAGTACTTTCTATACTTTTTAATCTTATTTCTTTATGTAAAACACTTTTAAATTTTATTCCAAAATAAAGACACTTTCACTTAAATAAAATCCACATTAGCATTTTATTTCATGTCAAAATCTTCTTTCTTTCAATCCTCTCTCTCTCTTCTATCTCTCCTGTAACTACATTTGTGTGTTTTTTTAATTCCTGTTTTTTCAAGACAAAATCGTAGTTACAAATGTAAACCCAAGAACTAACAGTGGCATAAATGAGAGGGGCTGGACAGTGTCCTATGCATATGGATGAAAGGATAAAGTCATTTCTCTTCTAATTTTCTTTGTTCTTGGTAGGTGTACAGGATCAGACAGGAATTGCCATGCCCTTCTTTGCCGTGCTATCGAGTGTACGATGAAGACAAAGTCGGGGTCGGGTCGGGGTCGGGTTTTAGGCAAACCCGACCCTACCCGACCCGATATATATATAAATAATTTTTTTAATTAATTTTTTAATTTTTTAATTATATATATTTATATAATGATATTTTTAAATATTTTATATTTAAAAATTAATATTTTATATTTAAAAAAATAATATTTTATTAATTTCGGTTCGGGTCGGGTACGGGTACGGGTTATATAAGGTCGGGTCGGGTCGGGTTCGGGTATGAAAAAACAAAAAAAATTTCGGGTAGGGTCGGGTTCGAGTTTTTTAAGCATTATGTCGGGTCGGGTTCGGGGCAAGCAAAACCCGCCCCGAACCCGACCCGATGCCAACCCTAAGTGTACCATTCAAAGCTTGACACAAACCAACTATCTGCAGAATCATAAGCCAAGATAAAACTGAGAACTCGCGAAAAGGGAGCGCTCATCAGCCATAATTAAGTCCATACTCAAAATGCTTTACCTGTTGATCCCATTGTCTCTTTCTTTTTTTGGATAAATGAATTGATCCCATTGTCGCATCTCTTCAGTATTCAAAATGTATAACCGCTTCCACCTGATGCATAAGATTATTATTTATTTAAATAGCTCTTAATAAAGAAAATTTATAAGCCAGTTCTACTTGAGGATCATAAGAACACAATCATAATTGAATCCATTAAAGCAGGAATAAAACAAAATCATAAGGAAAGAAATTGAAACTTGGTCGATTGATGATTGATCCCGTCATATACTCATTCTATCCTTATAAATCATTCTTGATGCTATCTTCTCGCTTGTAAAGAAATAGAAGCCAATCATTTTCTCTGTTAATTACAATATATGAGGTTCATGGAGAGAAGAACGACCAGAAAATCAATAACCACAAGCAAAACAAGTAGCTTAATAGGTTATAATGACAACTCTATTGTTGCTTAAATGTGCCAAAAGGGTGCCACATAAGAATCGTATCTTATGAGGAGAAATGCCCAGCAAAGTACCATACTCATGAAAACTGTGACAAGTGAAATGCAAGATATTGACATTTTGCTGGTCATGTCTTCTTTTTGCGAGTGTTCTCCATTGATGGTACCTTCATATTTTAAGAATGATTTTAAAAAAAAAATCACAAATGGTTGCAGGGAAGAAAGAGAAGGTAGAGAATAGAAGAATGAAACAATGACATGGAAAAATAATGCTGAAGTGGAAGCTAGCTATTAAGTTCAAAAACCCTGCTTTTGGAATAAAGTTTAAGAATACCCTAATTAGGGAATTAAGATGAAAAAGCACCTTCGTATGGTAAAAACCTCCGGGAAAAAAGAGAATGGATGAGGGTAAAATGGAGATAACAAAATCATACTGGCAATATGGTAGCGCATCATCAACGATCAAGCGAATTTCTCGAAACCTGTTATCAGCTGAACTTCCACGCACAGTCACTTATCCTTATCTAATTACATAAAAAGGTAGTTTCTCTCTTTATTTTCTTAATTAACGATATTTCTTCCTTTTAATTATCTTTTTTTTAATCTATTGGAACATATATTTAAATCAGCTGCATATAATCTAGGGTTCTTTTCATAAATCTAATCTAATCCATTTGGTTTCTCGATTTGATCTGCTCCCAATTAATTTCTCTTCTTTTTTTTTTTTTTTTTTGCGCTGTGATTTAGGTGATAATTAGGTTAGCAATTTGAAATTTCTTTTTCTTATTTTGAGAATTAATAAAAAAATATTTCTATTTGTTGCATAGGCATTGTATAGTTTGCAGTTGGGCAGTAGATTTTTTGCTCCTGACAATTCAAAATTTTTACATTAAACTGAAAAATGTTTGGTTCAATTTTCTTTTTCCCTGTATTTGAAAATATCAAAACCTTGTATATTGATGTGCTTTATCTGAGTTGTAAGGGCTTTGCTATATTCTTATGAACAGATGACATTACAATTGTGTTGATTTTATGCATTGTATTCGAAAATTTGCAGTATAATTGAAGGCCATTTTGTATTCTAATTTGCTTTAGATGATATGCTTGTCTTTTGTGTCCTCAAAGGGATACCCAATGGTTAGAATTTGACAATCAAACTTAGAAGTCTCAGATTTTCAAGCTTGAATCTTGGGAATCGGGATGGGATTTATGGGATGGAGAGAACTACATTCCTATATGTAGCCAACCCCAAGTTCTGCTTGGTCTCCAGATGTATTTTAATTGGGTCATCTACTTTTCAGTAAAAGATATTCTAGATGGTAGTATTTGGGCTGAATCAGTTTCTGAATTTTTTCGTTTTTCTTCTTTTTTGTGGTGATATTGGTTGTTATGCAGTAAGAAGATAGATATGGACCCTTCAGAGCTTAGGTATTATGAGGATGACGACACTCCAACAATGAAAACAATCAAGGGTGCAACTACTGGTTTTGTTGCCGGTACTATCTGGGGAACCATTGTTGCTACATGGTATGATGTGCCTCGTGTTGAGAGAAGTGTTGCCCTACCAGGCCTTGTAAGGACACTGAAGATGATGGGCAATTATGGGATAACATTTGCTGCAATTGGGGGAGTCTATATTGGTGTTGAGCAGCTGTTGCAGAATTATAGGATGAAAAGAGACTTTGTCAATGGTGCTGTTGGTGGTTTTGTGGCTGGGGCTTCCATTCTTGGTTTCAAAGGTAAAGGTTTATTTAGACGGCTAATATGTTTTGTGCACATTCGAACTTGCTATTTGATTTTATAAATTTTAGAGCAACATTTTATGAAAATCGACATGGCTTGGATTCTCCCTATGAAAGACTAATGTTTACAAAACTTTGTGGGATGCTGAAAAGACCTCTCATTTGCCCTGGTAAAAAAAATATTACATTTATATGTACAGATTGTATTAATTTTTGTGTTTCAGTTATATGTTTGATGTCTTTCTTAGAAAGCTTTACCTCTTCAGAGTTTGAAGCTTGTGAAGTTTCTTGGGATTTCTATCTCCATCTAAACAGTGTTGCTAAAGTTATATAGTATACTTCATTATTGCATGGAATTGTTTTAGTTTGTCTTGTTTTCTTAAACATGTTTACTCAGTTGTTGTATATGAAGTGTTAGGAGTTCTGAGTCATGTGAATAAAAGTCGATACTTCTGATTTTTCCTATAATTTCCGTATATGTTAAGGTTTTTGACATTCTTCTTTGTGAAATTCATGAATCATGCATTATTATAGCTGCTTGCTTGCTTTGTCTGTTACATCTGTATTGAGAACTGTCTCTAGAGTCTCGAGTGAGTTGACAATAAGGATTGAGCTGGAATATGTTGTCATAAAATCCTTGAGAAGAGGACAGGGAAGGGGAAGGGTTCTGAGTTTTTGTCTTTCGAGGTAGAGGATTGTGTAAAGGCATTATTTCTGACGGTGAGCTTTCCATAAGTTTTTGTGCTTTTAAGGAGAGAACGGAAGGGACTATCAATGTCGTATGTGTTATTGATTTCTAACTAGGTTTCTGGATCCATGTTAAACTTTGTCAGTTTTGTCTACTTTTTAATGTTCAACAAGTGTGCTGACGTGCTGTCCATTTCTCAGGGAGGAGCATCTCAAGAGCTATTTCTGCTGGAACAGCCCTGGCGGCCACCTCTTCCTTTATTGATGTTGGAGGTCAGACAACAAGAATGGACACGGGCAAAGAGTACTACCCTTACACCACCAAGAAAAGACCTGCTGATTCATAAATCTTGCATGTCGCTGCTGAGAAGGCACTTCCAGCTTGATGCGAGATAATCAATCCTGTTTGCTGAACAGGATGCATTTCTTTGTTTCCACGATGTATTCATACTCACTGTTTCCTTTTTTCTGTTCACTTTTAGAGCGAGAATGTTGATTTGAATAAAAATGCCCTGCCATTTATCAAAATCATGGTATAGGTGACAGTTTCTAGACCTATTGAATTTGGGATTACTGCTTTTGCTTTATTTTTTTAGTTTTGGACAAGACAAGAGTAGCAGTGAATGGTGCTCTCTCTCAATTTTGGAGTTTCTCAATGTGCAAACTTGCAGGAATAAAAATTGAAGCATTCGTCTTTCAGGACGAGTTGCACTTTCTGGCTGTTGCATTCTTTAAATCACCTATCCCTGGCCTGCTGAGTATACTTATAATGAGTATTAATCACTGTCGTTAATGAAATTAAAGAGAACAAATTGTAAGAGAAGTGGAAGAAGAATTTTTGAGTGGGTATTTTGTTGGAATGTTGATATTGTGTTATCAATTTTACCATTAAATCAGTTATAGCTTTTAGCTCTACCAAGTAAAATGTACAACTGCAAGACAGGTCAACCAAAATGAAGAATTAACAGGAACTCAAACAGACAAAGGTACATATTCTATTTCCAAGATTTCTGAAAGGAAATCTATGCAGGGTAGATTACACTTCCAATTTTTTTTTTTTATACCAAAAAGAGCTGTAACCTGAACATAGAAAAATTATTACAAAATTCAAATTTATATGTAAGATGTAATAAAAGATAACTGCAACAAAAAATAATTACATATACCCACTTAATTAAATTCCGAATTCATTAAATTACCACTTATTTGACATGATAGTTAGCTCTCTACAGCCGCAGCAGCATCATAATACATATTTCTTGGTTGATACAAGAAGAGCAAAACCAAACATGGCATCCATCAAGCTTCAGCTTCTTTCACCCATGAAGGTGTCTGAAAATCATAAACGGTAGAGTTTTGGGGTCAAAGGAAAGTGTGGAACCAGAATCGCTGTTGAGGACTCTGATTCAGTGGTGTTAGGCCTCAGGGGCTGAGTCACCGCCGCTACTCCTTCGCAGGATGCACGAGAAGGACGTTTGCAGCAACAAAAGATGGATGAAAAGAATCCCATGTCTCCCTTTTTCTCCCTCCCTGAAAGGGTTGCAGGTAAATGGAAAACACAGCTAACTCTTGTTATTAGTTCAATGCATTTGTCCATTGCTGTTATTAGTCAATGCAGATGTTACTGAGTGGTTGTCAGTTTTTCTTAACACCATTTCTAAAGAAATAATTACTTGGATGCCAAGTATATAGACTGAGATCAGCATGGCCCCACCAAAATATGCACTAAAGTAAAAAATAGTGGAGCCAAATTTTCCAAGTTCATCGTTGAAAACAAACAAGAAGAAAAAATTGTTCTACGATGATTTGGTAGATAAGTTAATAGTCTAAGGTGGTAGATAAAAGTAAGAGTTTTTGGGTTTGAGTTTTATATTATTTATTAAAATTATTTTGAATATATAATTTTGAATTATTTTTTTAAATTATCATATATAATAATTTTATTTTGATTTAAAAAATTAAATAATTTATTTACTTCAAAAATTTTTATAAAAAATAAAATAAAAGGTTGCATTTGAATGTCGACAGCGCCGCTGCGGTGCAATTGGGTGGCTTTTTGCCCTTAAATTGAATCATTATGCCATTTGGGTGACATCTTTTTTTAGATTAATTCAATTTATTTTTCGGTTGGGGATTGGACCTTTTAAGGTGTAGGGAAAGAAAGCTTCTATTTGTATCTTATTTTTCTCCTCATATTTCTTTTTCTTAAATTATTTTTAAATAATATTATTTAATTATTTTTCTCAAACTAATTCTTTTTACTTTTATGCTTCAGATTTATAAATTTGTAGATTTTTAAAAATATTTAAATTTGTAAATTCAAAATTTTAAAAAGTTTCTAAATTTGTATATTTAAAAATTAAAAAAAATCTATTTTAGATCGTTGAAATAAAAAAAAAAAAATCACAGCCCACCTATTGTAATAAGGTGCTCTTTCTATTAACGTTATAGTTTTTTTCTATTAATTTATGCATGAGTTTATAATTATTTAAAACAAACCGATTTTTTTTTTTTTTGTAGTGTTGTAAAAAATTTCCAAGATATAAGATTTTTTCCTCAATTAAATTTTTGGATTTTGTTAGAATCCCAGAAAATTAAATAAATATTTTTTTATTAAATTGAGATAATATCGATTAGTTGGATTTTGTTAAAAATCTTAAACTCTAAATGTAACTTTTTTTTAAAACTCATAAGATATGAAAATTTGATAAATTAACTTATAAAATATGCATATTTGATAAATTTTATAACTTACTTGATATAAATATCCAATAAATTATAAAATTTATTGATCATACATACTCAAAGACTTTTAAAAACGAGATAAAAAATAAATAATGTTACAGATAATTTTGAAGAAAAAAATATGTATAAAGCAAAAGTAATGGTAAAAATAGAAGCACCCTTAGTGAAAAATCACTAGGTTTAGTTGAAAGTTTTGGACCATAATGCCCCTATTTTTTTTAAAAACATTTTAACATAATTTTGTTGTTTTTATTTTTAAATTTAAGTTTGTTTATTTGTTATGTTTATATTTATGTTTAATATCAATTTATCTAAATATCACTTATAATTTTTATAAGTACTATATTTTAAATATTAAATATTTTGAAGTATTTTTATAATTTTAATATTTAAAATTTTAATTATTATTTTAATATAAAATAATATGCATATAAATTTTGGTTGAATAAAATTTTTAAAATTTTATTTGATATAAAAATTGAAATAAGTTCCTATTACTTATTATCTCGTAAACGTAAAAAATATATTAAAATTTTTATTATATATAAATTTAATTCAATATGTTAATGATCATTTCATTTTTCACTGTAATTCACCTCATTATCACTACAATATTTGTATTTAAATACATATTTTTATTACTAATTTTAATATTATTTTTTACAATAATTAATTTTATCGTACCGTTATTTTCAATCTTACATTAATCCAAATAGACCTTAAATCTACTAAAGTATCCCTTTAACAGTTTTTTTTTTTTAAATATAAAGTTACAACTACAAAAGAAATTAAAATCATAATAAATTATTACATATATAAAAAATCATTGAATTAAATCATTCAAACAACCCAACAAACAAACTAATAACCAAATCCAATATAAAACTGGATAAAAACACACATTATAAAACTTAAAACCTTAAGTAATATTTGGTATTATTTTCAAGATTATCATAATAATTTAATCATCGAGGTAAACTTATTACTAAGATAACATTATTACTCGTGATCTGAAATTACTTTATTTAATTAAGAATTATTAATTATTAGTAATTAAATATCATTGAATTTGATATTACTAAAAATCAAATAATATTTTATTTGAAAGACCAAAATAACTATGCACATTATAATAATTACACAAATTAATGATTTCAATTCTATTTAAAGATAATAGTTTGTATATAAAATATTAGTAATATTTTATTTACTTCATAATAAATATAATTAAATTATTAAATTAAAAATATATTTATTGATAATAAACCAATTTTTATAGTATAAATTATATAAAAAAATATTTGAATTAAACAATAAAACCAATATAGTAAAATCAAAAGATTATATTATAAATAAATTTAAAAAATTTTAAAAATCACAAAATATTTTTAAACCTGTTACAACGAATATTAATTTGAAAATATAAAAATTATAATATAAAATAATTGTAATTAATTTACATAAAAAGTAAGATTTTAATTCAACGTATTAAATGATAATATTGACTTTTTGTTAATTTTACATATCATTTTATTCGGTATAATAAAAATTTTTCATCTTTTTAGATGAAAATTAAACTAACTTTTAAAATAATAATTTAATCACTCTCAATAATTTAAAATATTGCTATATAAAATTACTAAACAATTATAAAATATAATGATCTAATCATCGTACATAAATTATCATAATTTTTTGAATGATGATCTCGTACCAAACTTTACCTTAAGTTTTGAAACCTTTTTTCTTACCTCTGCACAAAGTCTTGTTAACCTTACCACTAAGCCAAGGCTATAAACACACGTTCCTTTCTTCTCTTTTATAGCCTTTTGAATCAGTGTTTTCCACCGCATCCCTATAACTACATTGTCTTGAACTTGCTACCATCAAAACCTAATTAAAAAAAAAAAGGAAAAAACTATATATAAAAAAAAGCATTGGACCAACATAGATTCATTAAACAAACAATTATTTGAGCTGCTTCCAAAATATTGAATTTTTAATTTTTATAATCAAAGTTTAATTTTTGATATACTCTAAGTTAGAAAAAAAAAAAAAAGATACAGTATTTAAATTCACATGGGTAGATCAAGGAGATGAAAAAATTGAGAAGATAGCAGACCTAGGTGAACAAATATCACCGTAAGATTATTTCCCTTTTTTGGTCCAAAAGAATATTACATTGAGATTAGCAAATGTGTATGTGATTGCATTCTGCGCATAAGAGCCAATCCATATAATTTTTGTGCCCTTCCAAATTACAAGGGTGATTCTCAGCTGCCTGTTGTACCCACAGAAATGACCTGAGGAACTGGCAAAGGGTTGAAACTGAAAGAAAACCATAAACCGTTCTCCTTCTATACCTCATCTAATCAAGTAGACGTATCAGTCGCCTTGTAGGCAGTAAAGCTGTCGAATATTTCCAGAAGCTGCCATATTATTACACAAAATGAAATTTAAGTACACACCTCTTCTTATAGCTCATTTACTAAAATTCTTTTTTAAGTTCATATCATAGAGTATAAAGTTCAGAAACACCCAGCTATGATGGTTACAGGTTGTAAATTCATAAAAAAACATAGACCATATCTATAAAGTTTTCGGCAAGTTAGTATTTCTAATTTACAGCCGTCTGTTTCACTTAAAATTCAGAAGGGAAAAAGAAAACCGGATAAGGGTAAAATCATCAGAAATCATATGGAGTACGAATTCAAATGTATGAGAACCTAATCAAAAATCAACAGGAATTTAAGCATTGTTCATTTAGAAAAGGCAATCTTCAGTAACAAGAATTTGTGTTTATTTTTGAATTTTCAATTAAAAAAGGACCATATAATCTTTACCATATAGCATCCTATCATCCACGGTACTATGGACTAGGAAAGTAGATACGTTGAAACAACTATGATCATGAATATACCTAAAACAATAATGAAAACCACCACATATGCAAATAGAATGATGAACTTCAAAACAAAAAAAAGGTAGAAAAGACGGATTACCATATAACCAGTCTTTGAAGTATATATGAAGAGCACACGATAATTCTCTTTTTCGATTTTCTTCAAGTGGAGCTTCTCTCAATATTTGTTTTATCTCACCTAAATTCTTTTGCTGTTGACAACAGTACAAAGAAAACAAAAATTCAGTTAATGCAATATTAGAAAGATCAATAAAACCAATAACTAATTCTAAATACACAACATTGCTTCTATCATGCAGACAAAAACCAAGTCAAACTATAAACTCAAAGTTTGTCATCCTCAGTTGGGCTTAGTGCATTTACATTTCTTTGCTGAGATGTCAAGTATTTGTCAGGTAAGGGGAATGGGTTATCCTTGGTCAACCCAAGGGGTTCACCTTCAATCCAGTTCGGAATCTGCATAGTAAGAAATGTGCATGTCATGCACAAGCAAGATTAAATTACAAAAAAAGCAAAACGAAAAGAAAGTTACAAAACTATCCCAAGCTAAGCTATGAAATACGCAAAAGCATACCAGAAAATTTGTGAACTGATCAGGGTCTAGACGTGCTGCTGACTCGGCTTGAGCGTCAGAAACGCCTGCAGGACGAGATAATGGAGAGTGTGGATCAATCATTCCAAGTGCCAATGGTTCATCCCATCTATTGATAGTTGCCTCAATACCAACTTCAGTCATGTGTTCCTCCAACTGAGAGTAGAATGTGTTATATGGTGCCACCTGATGAAATTTAAGAAAAAAAATTCCAAAACTGTCAGTCTTCCTGAGTGTTGAAGTTCATAATGGTGATAAAACCAAAAACCAACTCAAACCAATAGCAAAATGGGTCTAAAATGTGGAAACTGTCGTTAAAAATTAATTAATGAAGTGTAAGGGTCCATATATGGAGAAAGAAACAAGGAATGCCTTCTAGGGGTGCTTCCACCAATGGTCTAGAAGAGTCTATATTCTATTTTGCAGAAGAATTAGACACTAAAATCAAATCCTCAAGGAAATACATATCCCTTGAAAACCTTAGTATTGTATATGTTGTCTATACAAACATAGTGATAGCATCAATTTGCATTAAAATGGCCAGAACAAAATCCCCCAAACCATCTATCATTGCAAGCAACAGATAGAATGGATTAGACGGCAACAATATCCTGCCAGTGATGATACTACATAGAAATCAAAAGCTAAATGCAAAACAATGAGCTCGAACAAGTGTTGAAAGACCTTAATGAAACAAGATGCATGAAAAAGATTACAGAAGTTTAGCTGTAAAGTAACTTTTCTTTTCTTGTCAGTTGAGGTTTGATTGCTTTCTTCATAAAAAAAATTGTAACAAAGATTGATTGAAATGTTATAATAACCTTAATAATATTCTCACCAAGACATAAGGCACTACATGCATGTATCTCTTGTGCCCTCTATCACAGAGCCATTGACTATAGTGATCACCACAAGGTTTTACAATAGAACTTATGCCCAATGTTTAACTGGATTACTCTTCAGTTATTTGATTCTTAGTGGGTTTAATTAACTCCTGAGCTGCTATTTTAACCCATCTTGTTCAAAGATTAACAGAAGGCTATTCTGTTAATAATTCTTTTCAAGCTGTTAAAAATTAATAATCTTGACTTACATGCAAAAAAAGAAGGCCAAATCAGCCTTATTTGAGGAAAATCAGCTCTAAGAAACACATAAATCAAAACATGACAAAGAACATGAGAGAAATTCTCTCTTCCACCAATAAGCCATGACACCAACCAGCAATCACCTTTAAACATCTTTCACCTCTCAATCACAATCTAGTCAATCATCCCACCGCACCAAAACCTTTCCTCTTCTCTTCTCATCTTACAAATACCACAAATAAAAATTGCAACTAATTTAACTTAAGTGATTCGATCAGGTTGGCTCTAGTTCATCATGGAGAATTACCACCAAATTGCTAAGGCAGACTTATTTTAGATAGAAATTTATGTAAAAAAAGGTTTTTCTTTTTTGGATTTATTATATTCTATTTGGATTTTTTTGTTTTTATGTTGGCTTACTTTAGGGTGTTTTGAAGCTTTGATAAAACATATATATATATATAGGTAAATCTCAGAATAATGAGGGCAGCTTTTGATGACTGACATTTTGAAACCATGACTTTTGCAGCCAGGCAATTGAATTTCAGATTTCATATTAAATTTCCACCAGAATTCATTCAATGTTTAGCTTCTCTGGTATTCTATTTTGATATTGTTGGTTCTGCATCAGTATGCTTTGGCTTTTAGCTATTTAGCAAATAGCACAAGAAAAAATAAAGACTTGTACTATCATCGATTGGATAGAGACATCTTCTAAAGATGCCAATATGACAACTTTCTTCACCTGTAGTAGAGAAACCCACCTGACAAAACCCTTTAATTTCAACCAAATAAAATCATGCTTTCAGCAGAATATTAATGCACCTACACGAACAGAATTCAGTTCAGCAAAACATGTATAGTTCCAAACATGAAAACACCCAAGATGCTGCCTAACCCAATTTTTAACAAAAACACAACTATAGTGCCAAGATGTCAAAATCAACTAATAGTTAAGTGTTTGCATGGGAAGAAATTGAGATTTCCAAGAAATTTAGTACAACCGGATTCAGATTTGGTGTGATAAAGCAGAGATATGATGGGCCACAGAGTAGGCAAAGGAAAAAAGGGGTGGCCAGCCATGATCAGAGCCAAACAGCACCAACCACCAGGTTGGATGGTGAGTTCGGCTGCAGTTGAAAGGACAAAGGAACCAAGGAGATGGAGAGAGAGAAAGAAACCCATCTCTCTGGAAAAGAAGAAAATTGAAGTTAATTTTGACTAATTGAATTTCTTTCCCGTCAATTATATATTTTTGAAATTAAGACTAGTTGGCATTTACTTGGAAATAAGTTCTTTATTAATTCTCATCCTAAAAACCCAAGCATGATCCCATTAAATTCCCATCGCACTTATAACTCATAATAGTCAATAATAGTCCACTTACCTGCAGCTTGTGGTTATCACCAACAATAAGGGGTCGCTGGTTTACTCCCAGAAAGAATACACACTCACGACAATTGGCAATGCAGACTCGTTTTGCTGCAATAACCACGTGAACTCGTTCACAGTGTTCAAGTCTTACTGCCTGTAAGGGCAAAAAAAAAAAAAAAAAAAGAAAATCATATTTCATTATCCATGAATTAAGACATATCATCACCTGAACTGGAAATGACTTGATAGTTAAGGGTGTAAACATCAGGTTGATTATTTTACAAAAAGTGATAAAAAAATATGGAAAGGGAGGAGGTGGGGAGCATATAAAATGTTCCCATAACAGAAGAATTATCACCTTACAAGTAAAGAATATTAGACGGAAAATTATAACTCAAATCAGTATCAAGGTTTAATATCTGAAATTATACAAAGATGATATGGGCATATATAGGCAAGAAAATATCGGTTATCGAATTAACAATCTTAGCAATAGAAACTGATTGTGTGCATGTGCATGGCCAAATTAGAGTTTAAACAACTTCCTTTAGCAATTTTGGAATAGCCAGGAAATGGGGCACAGATGAAGGGAAGCTATTCTTCTACAAGTTCTGACCGATTTGTTACATATGTATTCAAATTAAAAACAAACCAACCAACATTAGATGATAGATTTCAAACAGAGAATATCAGTCTTTACATTACCCACAGACATTCCCACCATGAATAAGTCATAGATTAGTGACAGATGCCGGGCAAACTAAAGGAAAGATGCACAAGTAACCATATCCTAAAAATTAAAACATAAGGAATCAAACAGTAAAATGCTCAATCACCTTAAAATTGAGTGCATTTGGTGACAAGGAAACAATTTAGTAACTTCTTTACTAGTGATGGACATTTTCCAGTCAGTAGAATAGTGAATAAGAAGTATATTTCATTCTCTTATGTATGAACTAATGAAGAAAGATCAAAACAAATCTGTTTCCAGAGTTTCAGTTCAAAATGCCAGAGAAATGTTTTCAGCAATTCCAAACACCATTACTGGATTAAAAAAAGGAGGAATGCAAATTTGAATCCACAATTCCACATTACAGAAGCAGAAAATGTTTCACTGATTCCAAATTAATGCAACACCAATAGTTGACAATACAAAGGCAATGATACCTTGCCAACAGCTCCAAGAACTATAGTAGCATCAGAGCATCCATAAATGGTGGCATATCTCAAAGGCGCTAAAATGTAAATGACTGAATCATGGCAATTAATGACCTGAAATTATAACATCATGCAAAGTTAGAGGTTTTTATGGCACAAAGTATACAAATATCAAACAATAATCAAGAATTAGATAAAACTTGTTGCCATAATTTAACTAGCATACACCTTTCCTCAAAATAGGAGGTCACAAGTCAAAATACCCCTGCTCCCAATTATTAAAATATATTTTTTTATTTTAATTAAAAGAAGCCAAGTATTCAAAAAATAATTGGGTAGAAGACAAACTTTACTGAAAACACAGCCGTTGGAACTGCATAACTTGCAGCCTATAATCAATAATAAGATGGTGATTATAATGAAGTTGATAGCATTGATTATGAAGAGGGGACTGAAACAAAAGAGCCATATTTGGGAAGAAAACAAGATTCCTGCTCAGAAAAAGGCTGGTACCTAAAGGGATGAAAGCTTTTAGCCTCAAGCAAGTGAAGGCTCTTATCCTAATTAGGTGATTACAAGAAATAAGACATTTTTTTACCAAAGACAGTGCAAATTTTCAACTAACTGCAGCTGGTGTCAGGCATTCAAGAATTGCTGCAGTCAATATCTGAAACAAGGTTTAGCAACATAAGCGATAGATACAGAAAACCAATCAATCTAGGAAGAATTTATCATAAAAGCTTGAAAATTTTGCAAATATGAAAAAGCCCTGAGGTGCCTGACTCCAAAAAGGCAGAACTAAAATTACCAAATGTGAAAAATGCTCTACCCTCATCTTGCTTGTTTCAAGTAACTAAGTCATATGATGCAGAACAGTCAGCCCTCAAGCCTTATAATCAGGGATTTAAATAACAGTCGTGCTCACATTTTCTAATATAACGAAGACAATTGCAGTCATTGCTATCATCGTGGTCGTGAATTTTTTTTAAATTTTATACAATTTGTTATAAAATATAATAATTATAATTATAATCATAAAAATATGATTTTTAAAGTAGTTTATGACACTAAGTTTTTTATTTTCTAAAAGAATTATTCACAATTTTATTTAGAGTATAATAAAGTATCCATATTTGGTTCAACAGCAAATTATAAACTTCCCTCAATCCTTCTAACTAGATTTTCTCCAAAAGAATTTCCAAAATTAAAAATTTCAAATTTATGTTTTAACAAAATTAATTACTAAATTAAAAAAAAAAAAACTTCACCCCACCAACCCACCCCATTCCCACAGTCTCACCCCCAAATTTCCCTGAATCATGAATCCCACCCAATTCCCAAATTCCCTCCTCAAGTCTTCTTCATGGCCTCCCTAAAGTCAACGACTCAACCCTACTAAAGTCTTCTTCCTCTCCTCAGTTTCTCTGCATCTCTCACTCTCTCTCGCGTCTCCCTTTCGCCTGCTCCAACCTCCACTCACCAGCCACTCACTTCTTTTTCCAGTCTCTCTACTCTCTCGCGGCTTGCTCCATAAAACCCAATCCCAAGTTGGCCTCCCAAGTCCCAACTCTCCCTCACACATACCCGATGACCCTCATCACTGTCACTGCATACAGAGTACAGCCTCAGCCTCGTCTCTCTCAGATTCTTGGCTGTTGAAATTTCGGGTTTTTTTATTTTTTTTAAACTTGAATTGGTGATGATAAAACGGGGATAGCAGCTATAATAGACCATTATTGCCGCTTTTCCCCGTTATGCCGATTTCCAATGGCTACTACACACTGTTTCTAGTGTGATTGAATTTCAAAACCGCATTTTCCCCAATAGTGGTGGCAGGTGGTGGTGCTACTGCAATTTCCCAATTGCTATTCCGCTACAGGACCACTATTTGATTCCCTGCTTGTAACATAGTCACCCCATTTTCCTCCATATGCACATTATTCCAGAAATACAGAATTAGTGACAATAGAACCAATGTCGAGTATATTCACCAACTCCAACATCATTTGTGCACTCCTCTCATTCTCATTCTTCTCATTATTTCATGATGAGCAACACAATAATAGATAGCCCCACCTAAAATGACATTTTCATCTCATCTCATCCATAAAATATGCACACAATAGACATCCATCTCAATATCTATATGACAGGTGCATATGATAACCTAATTTGATTTTCTTTTTTCTTTTTTCCTCATCAGATTCCATGTGGTACTCAAATTAAACTTAAGCTGGGGATCAAGATAAAAATCTAGACCACAAAGTACCTTCAGTGGTGTAGGCCAGTTATTGAATTTAAATGAGAATCAAGAAAAACACTGTACACAGAATACCCCTTGAAAAATTTCAGGTTTCACTAAACCACAATGCAAAAATATGCTAACCTTCACAGAAGAATTCTTAAGATCAGATGCCTGCTTTACATAAGATGATTTAGAGACCCCATCAATGAAATACGGACTCCTTGCACTTGCCAAGGCTTTGGCTGAACTTGGACTAGCATCAGCCATAGCAACATCCTGATCTGAGCCACTTGGAGAACCATTTTCTTTTGCAGAAATTTTTTCAGTAACATGTTCTAAAGATGAAGCTATATTCTGTAGAAGCCAATCATGAACTTGCGCAGCTGGAACAGGAACAGCAGGCATGTCTGGATCTGAATTAGAAAAAAATGGCGCAGCCTGGCTTAAAGGTACTCCTTCAGATCCCTTGTCACCAAATTGAATCAGAAACCCAAGGTGCTCAAACCCATCCATGGTTAAAACCTGAAGGAACAGTACTTACATGAGCAGACCGAGCCATAGAAGCTAATAACAAGCACAAACAAATGGAAATGGAGTAAGATATGCAGCAACAAGAAAGACCAATCATGAATACATAGTAAGAGCATTATGACAGCCTGGCTGATAACAAAGAGGAAGAATAAAGAGGAAAGAAAAAATCAAATATAATAAGGAAAGTTATGTATGTTGGAAAAGGTAGAAAAAATAGGAACAGAAAGATTTGTAAAAGCTCCAACTTATGTTCTAAAATTTTACTAGGAAAAATTTAGCTCACAATCAGCATTAATTGCTGAGAAGCTGGCAGGGAGTTCTTTTGTCCTCTTTTGGTGAAAATGCTCATATTTCTTATTGTAGTCAAACAAATGAGGTCCCCAACTTTTCCTTCCATCATAAAATAAGGTATAACAATAAAACAAACCAATTTTTGGTTGCAAACCAATCCTAAAGCAAAGAAACCAACACATAAAGAGAAAAGGGCACAATGAGGATCCCATTGTTTCAAAACAAATGGAAAAGTTATTCTGCCTTTCACCATGTTATCCTAGTAAGACAACCAGGTTATGCCTTCAAAGACTAAAAAACCACATGAAGACATTATAAACAACAAGATTTACATCCCAGCTCATTAATATTCTGTGTCAATATTTGGTTCTACCAAGTGCAACCACTAAAATAATTCTTCTGTGCTTCCACCGTTTATCCCTTGGAACTACAGTTACCACATGTTGGAATTACAAACTTGCATTTTATAATTCAATTTTGACCAGCAACATAGATGAACTACAAAGAAGATGAATAATTAAAATGCTAAAAAAATTAAAGTGGAACCAAAAAAAAAGTGCAATCATTGACTTATATTTCAAATATCTCAGTTTTGCTTGTATTGAGAAAAACAAAACAAAACAAAACTCCAAAACAGCAAAAGAACACTCCATCAAACTACAGATAGCAAGAAGAAGTATTCCAAACCAGAGACTCTCCTTCCCCTTCCACAGTCTCTGACAAAAGAGAGAGAATATTAGCCAAGTGCTTTTGTAGATAGGACAACTGATGGGCCTCTTCATCAGCCTGTGATGGCATAAATCGACGGGTGTTGCAGCGGACAAGCTGTGATAGAGTAACCATCACAATTAAATATAAGTGTCTAACTAACCATAGAGTAAAAGACTATGGCTATTAATTTCTAACAGAAAACAGATCTATATTTCTTACAAATGTTCACGGACATGGTGAAATCCATCCTAATGAAGTACTTAGCTAGATAAAACGATGGGACAAACAACCATGATAGCAAATCCTACAGTCTAAGATACCAAACTTAATTGAAATCATAAAATTTTACAACCTCTCCCGTAACATATATGTTGCACCTGTATAACTCATATTTTATATCCTAAAGCAGCAGGCAGAGGGAAGAAATAAAAACATGAACAATCAAAACAAGCAATTTATAACATTGCCTTTCAACTTCTATTTATTATATATGCACCCAGAGCCCATCCCAACTTCTTGGGCTTAAAAATGAAACAATGCATCAGATGTAGAACTAAAAATAAAAATACGGATGGTAAACAACAACAAATGGTATTTGAAAATTGCCAAACGGAAAAAAGCAAAATCCTATTTTATTACAATGAAAAAAATGATAAAATGTCAAGTATACTCAAAACATAATTGTTCCATATAAGAGTATAATGCATTTATAGTATCAAAAAGTTAAATATTTAACGTTTAAATCTTCAAAAATATTATTAGCTTTTATATATCTTAAAAGACTTTGTGCTTCCTATTATCAAAACCAAAAGGCAAGTAACAAGAGTACAACAAACATAGCCTCAATTAACAAAAACAATAACATAATCCAAAAAGACATCTTTCAATTTGCCAAAATATAAACGGAATCACATTTGGTCCTTTCCCAAATGACAATCAAGATTCAACTTTTCGCGAATTTTATCAGCCCCCGGCATCGAAGTCGTTCATTTTCCTAAAAGTAGCCATGAACCTAACACAATTATGTAAAATGACTATTGAAATTAGGAAAATTATATCAATAACCACCTAATTTTCAGCAACCATAAATCCAATTAAAAAAAAACCACATTTCACCAAAAAGATAGCGAATTGGTCAAACCCCTTACCTGCAAGGGCGAAAGGGCCGATAAGTAACCGTCGAATGCTGAAGTGGAAGGCCAAACATCGGCAACCGCGGCGGAGTCCTTGTGGGAGCGCGGCAAAAGCCTCTTATACGATTGAATGTATAAAAACAGGATCAGATCACGCAAATCGGCACCAACAGAATCAACATAGTCGGGTCGGGCGGTGACGAGCGGGTCGGATTCGGAGTGTAGCACCGAAGCGAGAGTGTCGAGGATGAGACGCGCAAGGTCTGATGAGATCTGGAGTGCGTCAGCGAGGGCAGCCGAGTTGACTCGGTGAGTTGAGGACGATGCCAGTTTTTCCTTGAGAGGGGTTAGGGCTTGGACCGGGTCGGTGAATATGAGCTTCTGGATTGATAGGAGGCCGTGCTCGAAAGGCTCGCGTCTCGGGTGGAGGAAAGCGATCGGGCTTGGATTCGGATTGGGGTAGCTCCTTGACGTTGATGGTTCGATGGGGTCAGTCATCGCTTTGATTTAGAGAGAGAACGAGAAAGAGTGCTCTTTTTTTTTAAGAAAAAAAATTGGAGTTTGGCTTTGCAGACCTTCGAGTAATGAATGATGTTGTTGAATGAGGAAAGAGAGATAGCGGATGGGTGTGCTGAGGTCTGGTATAACGGAACTGTTTACGTGGCTGAATTTCATTGGAACGTTAATGGGGGCAATCAAATTAATAACTTTAAAAAAATAAAAAAAAATAAAAATGAAAATCTTATTGGTTCTTTCATGATTCTGTGGCTTCACACTTATTGGTTGATGTATTGATGTTTGTTCTTCGATCAGGTAAAAGATGAAGTAATAGGGAAATGTAAAAATTTAACAGATACAGAGGGCATGCCTGTCGAATTTTTTTTGGATTAATTATGGACTTCCAGATTTTGGGGAAAGGCAAGAGGTATGAAAGCTAGTATGTGAAAGAGCAAAGGGGATGGTTGGGGCTTTGTTGTGCAAGGAAGACTTCAACCACGTACTGTATATACATTGAGAAAGATGGGGGAAATATAAGAGCTGCAAAGAAGATAAAAGCGGTTTAGACGGGTGTATGAGGAGTGTAGTTTGATTGATATGCATTCCTAAGGTCAAAGATTTACATGGATTAATAAGAGGGAGGATATGTTGATAAAAGAGGGAATTGATATGGATTAATAAGAGAGAGGATATGCTGATAAAAGAGGGAATTGATAGGGTGTTGGGTGTTGGTGAATCTGGAGTGGATTGAAGTGTATCTCAAGACTTAGATGTTCAATCTCTCAACGTATGGGATTTGGCCATTCATCAATTTTGGTTGATTTTAATTACTATGACAAAAAAAAAAGGCAAACAATTTAAGTTTGAAATAGTCTGAATAGAAAAAAGGGAGTACAGGCATGTTATCGAGGAAGGATGTATGAAAGCAAGTTTTTAGATGTTGGAAAGAGCTATATTTTATCAATTAGTATCATATGTATATATATACATAAAGTAGGTTACAGACACAGAATATATCATTATAAAGACAAAGATTCTAATTACATAAAATCAGGATTTTGATTGACAGTTGACACCTATTAGAGTGAACTTTAAGAATGCACATCCTCGATATGTTGCTGAAATTCCTACTAAAGATGATTCTCTAAATTATGCTTGGTACTGCAATTACTTCTGTATGAATCAATCTTGGTGTCATTATTGCTTGATTGTAAGTTGATGTTGCTACTGATCTATCTACATATGTGTTACTGATGCTCTTGGTTTTTGTGTGTCTTCTGTGAGTGTCTGATTTTGTTAAGTAGTTCCCTAAACATGCCTCCGCAAGATTGTGGAGCCATCAGCTACACCAATCTTGGCTCTAAGAAACAAAAATCTTTGTCGAGCAAGAGGTTTTGTGAGACCATCTGCAAGCTAATCTTTGGTAGAAGTATAAGATATAAGATTCTGACCAAAATGAACATACTTACAGACAAAGTGATAATCAAGTGCTAAATGTTTAATTCTAGAGTGAAACACTGGATTGGAGCTAAGGTAGGTTGCTTCGATATTATCACACTGAATAAAGGATGGAAGTTTATAAGGAAGGCATAACTCAGTGAAGAGATTCTGTATCCATATAAGCTCATATGTTGTGTTGGCAATAGCTTGATATTCTGCCTCTGTAGATGATATAGCAATTGATTTTTGTTTAGGGGATTTCCAAGAAACTAGACTATTTTCTAGATAAATAACATAGGCTGTGGTTGAGGATTTTTCATGAGCATCAGGGACTGAAGTGATGAACCCAAAATCAAGTAAAAACTTGCTTAGTTCTTGTTACCATGCCGTTAGAGCTTGTTTTTAGGCCATAAATAGCTTTATGTAGTTTGCATACACGATGGGGATTATCTTTGTTGAGAAAACCAGCAGGTTGAGCGATATAAACCTCATCAGAAAGTATACTTTGTAGAAAAGCATTATTTCCCTCCAATTGCTTGATCAGTTAAGCATTGTTTAGGGTTATACAGAAAACAATCTGAATGGTAGCAGGTTTGATGACAACACTGAAGGTTTCTTTGTAGTCTAGACCAGGTCTTTGGTGAAAGCCTTTGGCGACCAATCTTTCCTTGTATTTTTGGATAGAGCCATCAGAGCTTCTTTTGACTCGAAATACCCATTTGCAGCCACTGATATTCTGTTGTGTGTGAGGAGAAACAAGACTCCATGTTTTATTTCTAACCAGTGAATTGAACTCTTCTATAATAGCTGACCTCCATTTTGTATCTTTAATAGCTTGAGTAATATAGGTAGGTCAATTGTAGAACGAGCAGAATGTTTAGACGCTAGAAATATTTTCTTTGGTTTGAAAATATTGTTTTGAGACCTGGTTATCATTGGGTGTGTTCTGACAACAGAGGGTTGAACATTTGTGGAGGTGGAAGTTCGCAAGCACAAGTGAAGATGAAGAATAGTCATTACCTGGTGATGGAATTGTTGCAGCAAATGGCAAGAGAGGAGTCTGAGCAGAAATCACTCCAGAGTTGTGTTGATCGGCAGGTGGCATTTTGTCAAAGGTAGATGGAGGAAAAATATCAGTGGAAGCAATGACAGAAGACCATTCATCAAAAGTTGAGGCTGTAACAGAAGGCAAGACATCTTTTAAAGAGGTGAATGAAAAGATAGACTCATAAAATAAGACATGTCTGGAGATAAAAAATTTTCTGGTGTCAGGATCATGACATTTGAATCACTTTGAGTATTAAAGCTGCCTATAAAGACACAAGGTTTGGATTTAGGCAGCATTTTGTTATTATTATAAGGTCTCAACCAAGGATAACAGAGACAACCAAAAACTTCAAGCTTGCTTTAATTTGGTGGTTTATGAAATAGTTTTTCAAATGGTGACTTGTGATGAAAAATAGGAGTGGAGAGTCATTTATAAGATAAACTACTGTTTGAAAAGCGTGAGTCCAAAAAGACAATGGTATAGATGCTTGATGTAGAATGGTCAGACCAATCTCAACAATGTGTCTGTGTTTCCGTTCAGTTGTGCCATTTTGTTGAGGAGTATGTGGAGGATTTTGTAACCACATGACAGAGGATTTTGTAAACTTCCAAATGACAAATCCAAAAACTTAACCATGTGACAGAGGATTTTGGATGATGGATGACCTAGTGTTTTATGCCATATGTCGGCAGAAATCTTGACACTAATTATTGCTGCTACTAAGGAGAAAGAAGCTGGCATTTGGTTGGGAAATTCATACAAACTATTTTTGCTCAAACCCTTCAGCAGAATTGTTCCATGTTTAAATCCTTCACCAAAAAATTAAATGGACAAAATTCAAAAGAGACTTTGTTAGTGTTGCACAATTTTTGAAACAGAAATGAGGTGCATGCAAGACATTTGATAATTGAAGAGATTTAGTAACAGTAAGAATAGTAGTAGAGCCTGTATGAGTAATTTTCAAGCCTATACCATCACCAACAGTTATTTCATCTGGCCTCCCGTAATCCAAGTATAATGATAGATTGTTCAAGTCTGTTGTTACATGATGCGAGGCTCTTGAGTTCATAATCCAGTGAGGATTGTTTGTGGAGGGAGAGATGATGAAATTGTTAGCTACTAGCTTTCTAGGATTAGATTTATGAAGCCTACAAGTCTTGGCTTTATGATCTGGTTTTTCACAATGTTGATAAGTAGGTTTGCTAGGTTAACATGTGTTGGTGATGAATCCCCTCTTTCAGTTGTTATAGTTGCCTCGATTGTCGAAACCCTTTAAAAATTTTATTGTCAAAATTTTTTGTTGAATGTTTTTTTTTGTGTATCTTTTCAACTCTTTTACTAACAAAAAACTTTCAAAGAAAAAATCTTAATTATTTAAAACCAAAACACGATAACAGATTATAAAAAAAACTCTTAATTTTTTAACTTTTTTTTTACTCTTTCTCTCTTGATTTTTTTAATTGATTCTTCATTGTTTTTTAACTAATCATAATGTGATCTTTTTAAAGGCCTCTAAATCTAAGTACAATAAAAAAAAAAAGTTTTCTTAGTTTAAATTTCCTTATTAACTCTAACGTTAGATTTTTAATCTAAATCTATCTTTTAAACTAATTCTCTTTTACAATTCTTTTTTAATTAAAACTTTCAATTCAACAATCCAATTAAAATTAAATTCTCTTCAAGTTTTAACAAAATAATTTTGTTCTCTTTTTTTAAAATAATAATAATAACTATAAACTAAATACAATATCAAAAAAAAAATTCAAAGTTTAATCTTAAAATATAAATTGATACCGGACTAAACGAGATGTCTACATGCATCATTATTGTCATACTAAAACATTAGAAAAGCATCTCTAATTGATGGGTATTGCACGCTTGCTTTATCTATCTTGAAAATATTCTGAAGGAGCTATTGTTTCTATTACATTGTATTTTCATGTATAAGATTTTTCATAAAACCATTTTCATCCCACTCATCTCTCAAGAATTAAAGCAAAAAGGAGCTAGTAAAAGGAAGCCATTTATCTTTCCACATTTGGATTAATTAGCCAATGCCAACTCTCCATTTCACGCTTGAAGATGAAGGGTAGGGATGGGATCGAACTTGATCCTCGACAAAGAGCAAGATGTCAATGTTAAACATGCATGCTAGACATCAAATTGTCTTTTCGACCATCTATCTTAGTATTCCTACTTGTAATGACTTTAACTCTCTATCGCTCTTCGTAAGCACCTTACCCAACTCTTTCTCTCGTCTCTTTATTCGCAAGGATTTATTTTAAGTAGTGATGGCAATTGGACGAATGAATCAAATCATTTTGGGTCAAAACAATTTCAAGTTATTTCGAGTGTGAATACATGAATTTGGATCATTTTAAAATTCAAATTTTTTTGAATTTGAGTCATTTAGATTTAACATTGAAATTATTTGAATTAAGTCATTAGATTTGGTTTAATTCATTTTGAAATCTGTCATAATGTTTAAATTTGAGAACTTAATCATCATAAATTTTTTTTAACTAGATGTGATTGATTACCTATGTAAATATATCTTTTTTAAAGTTATCTTAAACCTAAATTAAAAATCTCTAAAAAGAATAGATTCTTATCAACATCAACAGAACTAAGGTTAAAAAATAAGTTACGTACAAGGAAGGTTTTAACACCTTATCACGCCTAAAATTAGTATCAAATTAATTATGTGATCATCTAATTTAATCCTTAATCAAAAATGATTTTATCATGTAAATAAATCAATTTCAGTCATTTTATTTATTTACACAACATGATCAAACAAAAAATCTATCAAAAATATCATGTCATTATGCAATCATGCAATAATTAAACAATAATTTCAATATATAATCATACAAATATATATTATAATTACTCGTGCAACATAAAAAATAAGCAATAAAAATGATGCAATTAATAAATATTCATATCAAAGTTTTTTTTTTTCTCTTTTCCTTATCCTTTAATTCAATCAATAATTAAAAATAAAAAAAAAAGAATAAAAAGGAAAAAAATAAAACCAAAAATCAAAAAGAAAAAAAAAAGGAAAATCTATGCTTGAGTCGGATCCTAAGTGGGTTTACACGCGGATATCCTCGAATCTATACGCAAGTAAGAGCTTTACAAAAATGACATTGTTTAGGCTTGAGTATAAAAGCCTAAATCCAAGCTTTTTCTCAATCTTCA